TTTCTTTCAGTTGAAGAYATTGATATTTAATATTTTCTTATAGTCAATGGACCAAATATAGCCATAGAGCAACCACCATTATTCAGTGATGATTCTGAACATCAACCAACAAACCCAGATGAACCTGGCTGTTTGAGGGATAAAATGTTAAAACAACCTGATTCTGATATTCAGGTACTGTGTACATGTATGTCTTTTGAACTACAATCATGTTTAGAATTTCTTTGTACGCAGGCATATTAATTTCTAAAAATAAATGAATCCTCTGCGTTTACTAGTTTGCTATGTTTCCTCGCGCGCTTTCCGTTTTTTGCGTTGTTTAAAATCTTACGTGTACTCTACCTTGACAATGGCCGCTTAGGCCGAAAGCTCGGTAATAAAAATATCACTAGTAAACGCAGAGGAYTCATTTATTTTTACAACCATGTTGTTTTGTTCTTAGAACAGTATCTAATATTTCACTTTGTCCACTTTTTCATASATCTCTGTGAAGTTTTTTCAACATTTATAAATCAACTAATAAATTAAATTAATTAAATTTACACATACAGACTTCAAATAGTTTAACTTATGGAGGCAGTCTGTACCATTGGACACTAATTTGAATATTTTCAATTTTCTCGATTCCATTTCTCTTTATTTCATTTCAGCTCTTTTTCCATTCTGAACCTTGAAATTTCCCTCCTACCCCCTGCCCCCCCCCCCCCACAATCCCCCTAATTCCTTCCCAAAATTATTTTCATTCATCCATGTTCTAATTTACTCAGTATGTAAACTTATTTTCCAAGACAAAAGTAAACACAGTGAAATTGAAAGAAAGTCTCCTTTCACTGTATTATTAATATCTTTTTTCTTATAATTTAAAGGATTTTTATGATCACAGTAATAAAGACCAACTATCTCAATTCCCCACTGAGCCGCACTCTTGGGTATGTCATCATTAGCCTTGTTTATAGTCTACAAATCATGGTGTGAATGACATTCACTTATTTGTTTGCAGTTTGGAGGATTGTGGAGATCACCATTTGATAGTCATCATCAACAACCTCAAGAAAAKATGGACAAAGGTGTATGACATTATAATGATGTTGACATAATAAMTCAAATAATAATTCTTGATTTTCACTGCATGTCTTTGTCAAAAATTACAGATGGAAGCATGAGAAAATGTTGTAACTACAATAGCGCTAATAATTTTCATTTTCCCTGAGTTGAGGCTAACCCTGTATTCCCAGAAGGCTGAAACCTTATTATGGGAATAAAGAGCAACGTAGTCTCAACTCAGAGAAATGCAAATTGTCAAGGTTATTGTATTATTATTTATTATAATCAAGACGTTTTCTCGTGCTTTCTTTTGTGTTTGGTAAGATCTTTGCAAAAGAGAATMTGCTRTCTAATAAAGCAGTTGTAACCGTTGGTCACTTTGAATTTGAAAATGGAGTATTTTTTGATTCTAATGAGTTRTTTTCTTTGACAGATCTTGATAGTGAATTAGAAAGTGGCCAACAGAGCTTAGATGATATCCTATCCAATCAACAAGATAAAAAACTGATACCCACAATACCAAGATCATCATCACAGTCTTATTCATGTATAACCACGATTGATTCCCATGGGGTTGGTACCATACCTTTTTGAACATATTATATAATATTGTAACAATAAAATCGCACAGTAATTAATGGGGACTTGTGGGTAGTAAAATTTGACTCATACAGAACTGTAAAAATGTTTTATATAATATATACAGTCACTTGTTTGCAAAAAAATGGTTGTGCAGTAATATGTGTATGATTTACATTATCCTTTGTTCTGTGCTGTGCTGTGCTGTGTTATGTCTGTTCTGGTCTGGTCATATATTATGGATGTTCATTACAAGTATTTGGAAAATTGTTCTCTATTAACCTGAGCTTACATAATCGACAAGTGGTATAGGTTATTATCTTTTATTAATTGGTATTTTTACCTTGCAACAGAATAGAGAAACTAAAACAACAAGAAARGATTCTAGTGGAAGAGAAGAGGTATATAGCATTGTGTAATATATAATACTTAGACTGATCTGCACTTAACACTTCATTKTGCCCTTTGGGATCCCTGTGGCATTCTCTTGGCCAGGCAGGTCAAAGTCTCACTCTGTCATGTTGAGGAAGGCAGGAATCCCAACATTAAAAGAAAAACGTTGGTTATGAAGAGACATGCCTGTTGAGGCTCGTCTATAAGCATTATAAGGGTGGTGATAATAGCTATAACTAGTATTATGTTTATTGTCAAGCTTATATTTTCTATATGTATATATTCTACCAAAATAGGACATTTTTTTACCAGATGAAAGCAAACATTTTCTAGTTATTGTCATAATTAAAATTACCATTGAATGATATCRTTCCAGATAACTATTACCAGGAAAAGTGGCAACAAGGAGCACACCATTAAAACCTGGAAAAATGAGGATGGTTCAGAACAAACACAGGAAAATATATTAAATGTTGATCCAGGTAAATTCTAGAGGCATTTTAAGAGGGAACTGGCAGTCTCCTTGAGGAAGACTGTTATAGTTAGACTGCTATTTAATAAACTGACATATCAACATACTGTGTGGAAGTGATCTTCAGACTTCCTCACACCTGGACGCTCATTACTCCTATCGCTTACAAATGGGTTCAGACCATTCACTCTCAATCCTTTTATTATATTCTTGCAGACTCAAGAGTTTCTTCACAAGACAGGTCTCCATTGAGCTCTATTTATGAAAGTATTATCRATCAGTTCTTTCCAAGAAGATGATAGTCTAATGATGCATAAAGTCCAACTGGTRTAGCAATGTACCTCCAAGGGGAGGGACCTTCCCTAACCTTTCTAAGCTTCCTAAGAGCTGCTAAGCTTGCAGTGGTCTTCAAGATAAAGAGCATTATTTTAAAATTTGATTTTAAAATGCTGTGCAGTAGTTTCTCAGTGTAGCTTAAAATGCATTACATTCTGCAAATGTTAGAAAACAATTTTTATGGACTTGGTGCTGCATCCACTCTATCATTTATAATCAATTTTTCCCATTGAAGTTTGTTACACCTAAAAGTCAGAAGCCAGAATTTCTGAAAATTGAACACCCTAAAAGATCCCAAACCGTTTGTTTTCACCAAAAAAGACGAGGATTAAATTATTCTGTTTCAATTAAAATCTGAATGGCAATGAAAAATTATTTATACGCAGAACATTCTACTTAGTGGTAGTAAAGTGATGCCGTAATGCTGACCCGTAATGCTTATCGCCTATTGATTTTGGTACWGGATTCAATCCCAGGGGAGAATCCCTAATAAAAAAGGGTGGGGTCCTCGTCGTCCCTTTTAGAGGKTGTCAATGGGGTTAATAGTTAACTGATTTTTGGCTTAAAAATTAGTAGTTAACTGACTTTTTAGCCAAAAAATAGTAGTTAACTGACTATTGAAAATCGTATATTTAACTGACTTTCTTACTAACATTTAATTCAGGCGCGTAGAGTCCTTTACGCACACACTCACGTGTGTACTAGTGGGAATGAAGTATTAAAATTTTCGGGATTTGATGACTTTTATATGCTCTCGATGCCCCTAAAAACGCTGAAAATCGCATTTCCAACAGTTATATTTCAAAATTTCCTGGGGGAGGATCTCCGACCCCCTTTATAATACTCCCGCCCTCGGAGGTCGTAAGCCCCCCAATCCAAAATATGTGTCACGGTACCGGCCATATTCGTATTAGCCAGAAAGTCCACGCTGCGCGCTTGTAATTGCGTCTTTTAAAAATCTACTGTTCAACAGTTTTTTGGGTCTTTTAACTGGTCACTGTTTGAGTAGTCAAGCTCCGATTTCACGAGCACACAGGCTATCCTCACGAGCATTGAACTTGTTGACCAGACAATGGCAGGCTTTGTCAAGGTCATCGTTGGTTTCTATCATACAAACTATGTTTAAAATCAGTGAAATCTATCAGATATTTGTCAATACGAGTCAATGGCGTTTGATACTTGTGCAAAAACACAAATAAAATCGGGAAACCAAAACAAAATAACCGTTGATTGATTGGTCCCTCTTAAAGGGTGAAATTTCAGCACTGCCACGCCCATCATCTCACAATACAGGTCCCATTTAGGGGTCATTTTCAGAATTCCTAACGAGGACTTCCGCCCTGTTTAATAAGGGAGGATTAAATCCTAAGTCCTCCTACTTTATTACGACCAGTGACAACTTGTTTCCCTGTTAGATGGGGTCCCTGTGTCATAATACTRTTACAACACTAGCAATGGCACACTCGACAAGATATGAAACTCCTGAACAAGAACTGACTGAATCCATTAGAACATTAGGAAAAGAAGTACAACTTACTAYATTTAAAACGAACCAACCAGATGCCCTGCAGCCACAAGACTTCATGAAGCCGGGAACGAGGAAGCTGGGRATAGTATGTGTTGGTTCTTGTAACGTCAGAGACAAGATAGTTTACATTCGACATTACTTGGGGGATAAACCAAATTTTACTGATAGTAACTGCATTTTAAGCGTTGAAACTGTAGTAAAAGACATTGTTCTGCCTCAAGGAGATACTTGTATGTCAGTCCCGCTTAAAGTTCACCTCAGTGTACTTGGTCAAAATTTGCCTGAGAGATTGGCGAAGTTTTATATAAGTCGTAGTGAATCTACAGCAGAAATAATCGGGGTCATTGTGTTTTCTTCAGCAAGCAAAACGGCTTTGACAACAGCAGTCSAGTGGAAGAATATAGTTGAGGAATCCTTAGGCACAGCYAAGAAAATTCCAATCGTTTTACTAATAGAAAACATCAATTTAACTGGCGAAGGGAACTTTCAAGAGGACGAGGAATCCATGAATCGGTTTTGTATTGAAAATGGTTTTATGAAGTGGTTCGAGATGATGAAAAGTGATTGGAAACTGGGAGAGAAAAACATATTTGGCCATGCCGTGGATGTAATTCTGCAGGAATTAAAAAATTAGCAACTTTCTGGGAAGCAAACTCACGGCAGAGTCTAGCGTGACTGCATTTAGTGGAAGCTTTGGACTGTGTCACAGTCACGCGAGTAACAGAATAGTAACGTTAGTATTTCCACAGGGAGTCCGCAAACATCATTTACAAAGGATGAGCGTGATTTTTTAGTTCGATTTTTTTAAGGAAAATATTCAACAATAAAATCTGTAAGTGATTGATTGGATGGGTTGCCAAGAACCATAGAAACAAAAATGTAATGCATGATCTTTTATTGAACTACTAACRCACAAAAAAGCCGGTTACTTTAATCAACAGATAGAAAGTTTAKAAATGTTTAGAAACTGATTACCTATGAAACTTGATTGATTCTATTCAAAGCCTGTGTTGCATGACACCATTTACAATTACTGGATCTTACTTTTTTAAGTTATAATACGCGTGCTAATGTGAACGAAGTGTTACGGTTAGTCAATGGTCAAATCCGGTATTTTCTGAAAATCGTCTGACGTTGTGCTGTCACCTCAGTTTACAATATTGGTTTGCCTTGTGGGTCGGTCTTGAGCTCACAGTGGCCGTGGAGGAACGCGCAATGTCCTATCTTGGCTACCTCTTCGTTTCCGGCCTTGGATAGCAGCTAAAAAAAGAACAATTGGAACTCAAAGACTAACGTTGTTCACATGGTTCCCACCAGGCACTTCCCTCTGTAGATCTATTTTCACAGAATTGTTCACAAAGTGAGTAGTAAAATTTCACATATGAAGTGCGTTTACTCTGGCGTTTCTAACAAGCATAAATCAAGATGGCCGACATCCTTTTGTACGTTTCACTACAATATCTGCAAGTTTTTGCTCAATAATTTAGACTTATAACTTGGACTAGAATACTCCTTTAAGTATTAAGCGCCGTCCTGAAAGGCATCCAAATCTTTGCTTCAAAACGAGAAAAAAGTTGAGCCTGCAGTGATAGATAGCTTTTCTTCACTTTCTTCGCTGTCTCGCTTTGATGCAAAGGCTGAGATTTACGGGAAAGATTGGCACGAGCAATGAATTTCAGTTAACTTACGTCCAAGGCTTTGGTGTAGTTTGCCACAGCCTTTTTATTGCCTTTGCATTGGTCRCGCATTTCTCCAAGTTTTGCTTTAAACTCGCCAACATCCTTGACGTTCTGGAAGGGACAGCCCTCTTTGAATGCTGGGCATCCTTGACCCAGTCCCTTTAGGTCTACTGCCTTRTAAGGACACTTCTTTCCCTTGCCGAAGGCTGGRCAGTGCAGCTTTGTGTACTCCATGGTTATAGCATCAGGAGTCTAAAGACGCAAATGTCACCATTGCCTTAGAGTGTTTACAAAATAACACTAAGAAAATCAGCCTGCTGGCTTTCAACAATTCGCAATTAATAATTCTAAAGCGCTGCCTATGTTGTTGTGTGCTGAGCTGTGTTGTTTTTTTTTTCGTTTCGTTTCGTTTCGTTTATGTTTGTTTGTTTTTCTTTTGGGAATCATTCCCAATTGACAAAGATCACTTCTTTTAAAATAGTTGCCATTTTGTTTTCTTGATTAGAAGTTACTTTTCTTTTTAAAGAAATACACATCAATCAAACAATCAATACTTACCACAAATCGACCATTCAAGTCAGTCTTCAGACAGCAGCCGTTCTTGAAGAATGGACAATGACCACGTTTGGCGACTTCCCGACCATTGGCTGCATAGGCAAGCTAAATAAGATGAATAATGAGACAACATTTTCATGCATATTCACATTTATGAAACTTTGCTAGTAAGTTCCAGAAAGTTAATTCTAGTAATTATAAGTTAACCGCTGGTTTATGGCGTTAAATGCTACCTGTGCTTTTGCATTKCAACAAATACTACTTTTGGCATAATTGCGACTAGATCTTATTTAGGATATCTCTTTTTGGCCCACAATATGTCTCTGTTAGCTGTTTCAAAGTTCTCATCCTATTAGGATTCTAAGACATTTATTTCTAAACAACTTAGGTTATTATCTTATAGGTTTCCCACACTAGTTTGTTTAGATTGTATGAGCTTCACTCTAAGTCAAACATTATTTGCAACTTGTGACTTCTTAGGTTTGACTTCACCATTCCTTTCTATGATTTCAAATATTCCACTACTAAGCTTTCCGATAAGGACTAAAACATAATGAGATAACAAAGGCACATTGTTACCTTCGATAGTAAATATAATCTTGATTTTCCATCCAACCTCTTAGGATGTTTTCACGCAAGTCGCATTATTGTAATGTTACACTAATTAATTCAGCTAAACCCCTTCTTCGTAAATYTACACCCCTGTACACGCCCTGTTCGTCCTAACACCTTTTCAATATAACTTTATAGAAAATAAGTTCTCTATTAGAGCTATCTTCTGTCTTAATTTTATCCTTGAATTCAACACAGAACTATCTCAGGATAAAGCTCTGAGATCGCCTCTGCCTCAGTTAAACAAACTATATATTAGTAAGTCCGTCAAAACTTCATGTCTTATCCAATCATATTTCAAAAAAAATTGGGCGTTATCGGAGGTATTTTCATTAGTGATAGAACCTTACATCCATTGCCTTGAGGTAGTTTTCTTTGCCTTTGCACTTGTCTCGCATTTCACCCATTTTGGCCTTRAATTCGCCAATTGTCTTGACGTTCATGAAAGGACATCCTCCATTTTTGAACTCAGGACATCCCTTAGCAAGACCCTTAAGCTCCTTCACGCTGTAGGGACAAGCAAAACYTCCTTCAAATGCTGGGCAGTGAGACTTGACAAAGTCCATGGTTACACTTTCAGGAAGCTGAAGTTAAAACACATAAACAAGCTTTACATTGTGAAATCTTACGAGTGAATTGTGGCAACAACACTTAAAAAAGTCACTTAAGGTATCTGGATACAGTTGTTTAGAACTCCGACCGGAGTTTTGGCCAAACATTTTACCATACGGCCMCACTCAATAAGTACATGACGCTTTTACTTACGATAGGTTTTCCTTCACGATCAGAGCTCAATGGACACCCAAACTTAAAAAACGGACAATGCCCAAGTTTGACTACTTCTCGTCCATTGGCAGACTCAATGATCTGTAAAAGTTGGCGGAATGAATTAAAATTAAATCAGGCGGCAGGCTCTCACCAGTTCCTCGGTCAAGATTATCAAAACAGGAAGACCAAAAGCAGTTTTTTGTTTTTGTTTTTTTACTCGGGCGCCTAAAGTGAGATGACACTTTTATTCAATAGTCTCCTTCACGGTTCCCTGCGCCATCTTGAAAGGTAGCCGTTCCTTTACATTGTGAAGCGAGACAACCGTTGAGCGTGCAATGATAGAWACCTGTGAATAATTGTCAGTAGGTGTGAAAGAAGGTTTCTATCATTGCACGCTCAACGGTCGTCTCGCTTCGATACAAAGGCACGGCTACCTTTCAAGATGGCGCAGGTAACCGTGACGGAGACTATTACCTTCAAAGCTTCGTCGTAATTAGTTTTGCCTTTACAGAGATCTCTCATTTCTCCCAGCTTTGCYTTAAACTCGSCAACAGTCTTCACACCTTTGAAAGGACAACCGGTTTTAAAGGCAGGACAACCTTTGGCAAGTCCTTTGAGTTCTGGGACGTTGTAAGGRCAGAATTTTCCATTCTGGAAGGCTGGGCAATGTGCCTGGATGYACTCCAAAGTGAAATGATCTGGAAGCTAAAAACAAATATTGAAACGTGGCAGTTAAAATGGYTTCACTATGCTATGATGAAAGGCATCCAGARAAAGAGGTCATTTTTCTTGCTTTTTGCAAGTTGTTTTAAAACCAGCTTTAGCGTCACAAATAAGAATCCTGAATTACCCTTAGGTCTCCCTCTAGAAGATAYAGTAAAAACCCGCGTATAAGAACCTATAACAGTTAAGAACCTTTTAGAAGACCACATCATTTAAAAATTCTTAATTTTCTTCTTGAACAAAAGTTADGAACCTAATTAAGAACCTAGTTAGCCTAATAGCCGACTTGCGAATTACGCATCAATAGTCACATACAAAGGAATCAAGACGAGGCGTCGTGCTTTTTTGTGAAAAATCTATTGTCTTTAGCACGGCGCCTCGTCTTGATTCCTTTGTATGTGACTATTGATGCGTAATTCGCAAGTCGGCTATTTAACACTAAGTACCATTTATATAAGAACCTGTTAAGGCTAACTTGAAAAAAAAACTAGGTTCTTATACACGGGTTTTTACTGTAGACTCTGGCAGTRCYGTAAATGTTTGGAACTTACAATGGGTTTGTTAGTCTCATCACTGGCAAACATGCATCCAGACTTGAAAAAGGGACACCCKCGGCCGAATGTAGCAACTTCTGCACCTGAGGCACCAGTGATCATCTAACAAAAGAGACAATAAAGACAAAAAATAGGATGAATTATTAAACGTAGCGAATGAATCGTCGACMAAAACTGATGCGTAAATTGCAGCCTTGGGACAAGGCTAAGGAAATACAAATTATCAGCAGACTTCACAACTGTAGAACACCTATAAGAATACTTTGATCTATTGTACCATTGGCAAGGGATTGATATACCAGGGTCGTCTAAGCAGACTGCCAAAATCCTTTCATGGCCTATATTTCTTCAACCTTTTTTAATCCCAAGATGGTGGTGCTAGATTATCCTAATCCCAAAAGCTAATGTATGATTTAGTGACAAACCTCTAATGCCTTCCTGTAATTGTCAGTTCCTTTACACTGATCTCTCATCTGACCCATCTTTTCTCTGAACTCGCMAACGGTCTTCACGTCCTTRAATGGACACCCGTTTTTGAACTCGGGGCATCCTTTTCCAAGTCCTTTAAGGCAAGGGATGTTATAGGGGCAATAGCGACCTTGCTGGAARACTGGGCAGTGCTCCTTGATGTAGTCTAATGTTGTAATATCACTCGACTGTAGAAAAATGAATCATTCGATATGTTTATTACAGTTGAGAATAAATGCTCCGAAACAGTGGAAATTCAAATCCAGCCATTATATTTTCTCTCATAATTTTTGATATACATCATCTATCAATGATTCTTYGACGTGATTTGCAGCAATTCTGGCCTCCGTCGTCTTGCGACTATACTGAATCCTTGATGTTAAAACAATATRTTATTTTGGCATGACGTAATCATGCAAAAGGACAGTCTCTACTGAATCAAAGGAACACGTTCCAGGGAAAGAGGCAATATCATGGGATGAATTCAAATGGTATGAAATATTAAATAAACGGAAATGTTCACTTGATAAAAAMCAATCTCATGGAGGGAGGAGGGAGGGGTGCAAAGGTAGACGGTGTTTGATGCCAAATACAAAGAAATCAAGAAAGCAAACCATAATGAAAGGCTATTGAATTTGTCCCTCTTAGGGGTGTAATATCATCACTGGTACTCCCGTTGTTCYAATTATTGGTCCCTTTTCGGCGGATATTTTCATAATTTCCAATCAGGACCCCCTGCCATCTATTATAAGAGATGAAAGTGTAATGATATAAACGACATACGATTGGCTTTCCATCATTATCGCTCAGGAATGGACAGCCATCCATGAAGAACGGGCAGTGGCCATGTTTGTGAGCTTGCTCTTTGCTAACACCAAGAATAACCTGTTGAATTCATAAAACTATAGAACTACTGCCACGCTATAATTAATCATAATGTCACTTGCAAAAACGCTAGTATATCACTATGCGTTCTGCTTTAGCAGGAATAAATATCTCTGTTCGATATTGCAATTTGCAATTTGTATTTTTCTCCTAAATTTGAATGTTTTTGCAGCAATTATGTCTTCATGTTATAATACTTGTTTAATACCAATGGTCCAACAAAAMCTTGATACTTTTACATTGTAGATAGAGTAATAATACTTTCCTTGTGCTATAATGTTGATTAATTGTACGTGTAAAAAAAGAGTCAAATGTCACGACGATCCATGTGCGATTGTGTTTCCGACTGTATCGGTCGAATATCGCGGCCTGTGGCMACCTAAGGGGAGATCTATTAGAATTTTTTTGGGGAGAGGGGGTGGGGGGGAGGAGGGGGCTGGAAGATTTTGTACGTGCGATAATTTTTTAGGACTTCAAGCGCGCGCTTGAAATTTCTTTTTTTGTAAATTTACGAAAGCTTTAGTGCAGATTTTCAAAAATTTTGCCGTGCAGGAAATTTTTTTTGAAAATCTTCCATCCCCCCCCCCCCCCCCCCTCAAAATTCCAATGGACCACCCCTAAAAACCCATTTACACTATTAATTTTGTCTGGCGGCATCAGCTGTAATTTTTCGATTTTATCGCAACCACAAATCGCTCGTGTAAGCAATCGGCAAATTTATGTCGATTATTTTACTGCGACAGGACTTTTGCTATTCCCAGCAATTTCGAAAATGCTCGAAATTTTAGGTCTTTTAACGCGATTTTCACTTGAAACTTATCAAAGTGTTACTGCTGGAAAGAAAAATGTTCAATGCTGCCACGCTCGAATGTAAATGAAAATGGAAGTGTTGCGCTTTTCTCGGCCTCTGTGCATCCAAAAAATCTGAAATAGCATTTAGATTCGACTGGCTTAATTCTTTACCACGTCCTGCACGAGGCATCCTCGGGAACCCAGGGATAATCTTCTGTCGTTCGTTCCTCACTCCCAGAAAAAATACCCCTGGGCCGGAAGTCTGTTAGACCTTGTTCTCGATTCGAAATTCAAAATGGCGGCTGGTAAATCTCTGATTGGTCGAGTGATTCACTCGAACATTCTGATTGGTTGATTAACTTACTGGCCGCCATTTTGAATTTCGAATCGAGAACAAGGTCTAACAGAYTTCGTGMCCAGGGGTRTTTTTTCTGGGAGTGAAGAACGAACGACAGAAGATTACCCCTGGGTTCCCGAGGATGTGCACGAGGCGATAGTACATGTATACTCTATCTGACTCTCWATTCTACAAATAAAGCTTCACCAATTCACTCCTCGTTGTTTTCTTCTTCGCTGAGCAAGTATGCAGGGGTTTATCATATAATTATCTATGAAATACCTATTTGTCTTCAACTTTGTCCACAGTGATAAAATAAAGTCGAAAAATTGCATCAAATAATAACCTTGAAATTGCCAAAAAATCGACGTGAATTWGCAGATATCAAACAGATATTACATCGCTTATTACTGCAGTTGGAATATCGAATTTACGAATTGACAGTAGTTTTGCATGCATAAGTTATGCTGAATACAAATTTTAGAAAGAGAAACAGTAATTATCAATACACCTCATTTGGTCTGAAATCCACCTGAAGATATTTAGATTTTTGATTTCAGCGATTGATCGTTTTCAATCATTCCCATGAGATTCAAAGATAAAAGACCGGCGACCATGTTGGAGGAATGAACAATAGATACTAATGAGAAACCGTTTATTGAAGTTCCTCCAAGATGGCCGCTATGACGACGTATAGTGAAACGAAGGGTTGACTTCTGTTTCAGCCTAGCTTATAAAAAAGACTTCGAAGGTCGCACTTCAATTAAATGGTTGTAAAACAATACTTTACTCTTCTTGTGTTAATGACTTCAATTTTTGAGTGCTCGGTCATAAAATGTATCTTATTTCACAAAATTTTACTGTTGTTTGTTTGCATTTTAAACTTTGCACCGAATCGCGAATGCGCAAACATATTTTTCAATCCGTTTGCGGATTGAAATGTCGATAAATTCATTCCTTCAAATGCTAAAAATGCACCGAAGCCATACATTTTTACAAGTTAAACGTGCCAAAAGCCTTTATATTTGAGTCTTCTCTTCTTCCAAGTCGGCATTTACACTAGGTACACCACGGACGCTCCCTTAAACATGTCGTCGATGTCGTCAGATAATAAAAAACAATTCTTGTAGCCTGAAAATTCTTACTCACCGTTAGAGCTTCGTCGTATTTAGGTTTACCTTTGCAGTYATCTCTCATTTTGCCCATCTCTTGCTTTAATTCTTCAACATTTTCGACGTCTTTAAACGGGCATCCCGCTTTCTTAAACTCTGGACAACCAGCTGCAAGACYTTTAATTCCAGGTACATTGTAGGGACAAGCTTTACCTGCTTGGAAAACAGGGCACTTTGCCTTGATTTGGTCCATATTGGTATAGTTTTGGTCAAAAACCGTCAGCTGATACTACTAGTAACGAGCTATCGCTAGAACTGACCTCTTCGTCTTATAAAACTGATTTTGTGCATGGGATGTTATGCCGTACCCGCCCACTTCATCATTCGAACAATAGACAGATTCAAGACCTAGTTAATTAAYAATCTAATCATTAACGATGTCCAAGTTTTTTGAATTTTCACGGGTAGATGAGCATGATTATCTCGCAGTTTATTGAAAATACTTGTGAGGTGAGAACTTTTCTCACCCCTTCTTCGTAGAAGAGCTAGCTTTACTCTTAGTTTTACATACATTTATTTTCATATATGGCTCCATGCTGTAGCAGAGTCTATCGTTATAATTCCCGACGAGGAATACTATCGGGAGAGAGAGAGAGAGTTGGCTCTGCCGAGTCGAGTTTCTTTGTCTGATACGCGTTGTCGTTCTTCAGCAGCCATGACCTATATTTGACATGGAAATGTTATCATTGAAGTGGGAGCATAGATATGCAAACTCCTTGACTAGCTTACTGRCGTCAATGACATTTAGAGGCGCGGTATCGAGAGACATAGAGGATATTACATTGGCGCGCGGATATACGGATTTTATTTTCGAGTGTCGAAAAAAAATCTCTCACGAGTGATGAGCTTAGCGAATTTTTTTTTTAGTTAAAGATTTTCAACACGAGAACTGATAAAATTCGTATCTCCAAGCGACCATGTAATATCCTCTATATATAACAAGTATCAATACACACCTCATTTGGTATTAAGTCTAGCGAAGAGTTGACTTCGAAGGTCGCACTTCAATTAAATGGTTGTAAAACAATACTTCAATTTTTGAGTGCGCGGTCATAAAATGTATCTTATTTCACAAAATTTTAYTGCTGTTTGTGTGCATTTTAAACTTTTCACCGAATGCGCMAACATATTATTCAATCCGTTTGCGGACATGAAAATGTTATCATTGAAGTGGGAGCATAGATATGCAAACTCCTTGACTAGCGTACTGGCGTCAATGACATTTAGGCGCGGTATCGAGAGACATAGGGGACATTGGCGCGCGGATATACGGGTGCGCCGACTGACTGATACACCATCATCTAGCATCATCATCTAGCATCGTACCTTTTGACCAAACACACAGTCGTCGTGTCCTTCCCTCTCTCAAAGTTTTTTGAAAATATTGCTTATCACATAAAGAAAGGAATTCTGGAGTGTTTATTACATTTTATATGGAATTAAACATGACGATGATTGATTGGATGGGCTGCGTAACTATAGAAACAAGAGTTGAATGCATGATCTTTTATTGAACAAACAAAACATGAAAAAATTCGCAAATTTATATTTTGTGCGTTGATTACCCTATGAAAGTCGATTGATTCTATTCAAGCCCTCTACCAGTGGTGCATGACACCTGTTACAATTACTCGATTTTACTATGATTACATAAACTTGTTATAATGTAATAATTATGTGCTAATATGAACGATGTGTTACGTTTTAATCAATGGTCAAATCCGGTATTATTTTCTGAAAATTGTCTGACGTTGGTTCACATGACAGTTTAGGTCGTGTTGTCACTGAGRAGGGCCTCAGTTTACAATATTGGTTTGCCTTGTGGGTCGGTCTTGAGCTCACAGTGGCCGTGGAGGAACGCGCAGTGTCCAATCTTAGCCACCTCCTCGTTTCCTGCCTTGGACAGCAGCTAAAGAAAACACAAAGAAAAATTGGAACTCAAGTAAAATGTTGTTCACATGGTTTCTACGAGGCACTTAGATCTCTTTAGATCTAATGTCACGGAATAGTAAATAGAGGATAAGTAAGGGAGTTATCATTATTTACTGGGGGGAAGGCCACTAAATTTGCATCGAGCCCTGTTGAGAAAATAGAGGCCCTTCCTTGTAAGACAAAGAAAAAAATGTGGCCCTCCCTTGAATCGGGTACAAAAAGTAAAGACCCTCCCCCAAAATATGTATACTAGATATTCCGATTAAAAATATGTTAAAATGACTTTTTGTTGAGTAAACAACTGGCACATTTTATTTAGGGTTTTACATGTTGTGCTCCTTGAAAAGCCCTGGAAATGAAAACACGTTTTTATAAAGTGCATTTGAAAAGACCTTGAAAAATAGAAAAATACTGCTGGAATACTCCTTTTAAGTTCTTTTCATCGTATTACATTTGTGCAAAACAATCATTTATGATAAGTGTTGTGATCCTTTGTTTGGTGTAATATCGTATGCTAATACTGAATCAGCAATTTTAAGCATTTTCTGTGGAGTCAGCAATCTTTGTTCAGAATTCTCCCATTTTACTTTTATTACTCATAAGAGTTCCGTTTCCCAGCATGTTGTAGCTGTTCTGCCGRATCTTCTTGTACAAAACAGTGTACTCGTGCTCTCTTACATTTCATGCACGGCCCAAAGGGCCGAAAAAAATTCCTGCAACGCAAAATAGAAAAATCTCCACTAAAGCTTTTTGATAAGAGTTTTAAAGATAAACACAAGAAGCTTAATTCTTATTTATTTTTCTCCAGGACAAAATTGGTGACCCTTCCCTAAAGCTCATTTGAAAAACAATCAACCCTCCCCAAACACAAATCCAAAAATTGTGGCCCTCCCCACAATTTAGTGGCCCTCCCCCTCTCCCCCAATAAATAATGATAACTCCCTAAACTGTCAAAATTGAATTGCTTTCACTCTTTTCTAGACACATGTTTCTAACAAACATATATATAAATCAGGATGGCGGACATCTTGCTGTACGTTTCGCTACAATATCTGTAAGTTTTTTCTCAGTATTTTTAACTTAGACTAGAATACTCATTTTAGTCCCATAAGCKCCGTCTTGAAAGGTAGCAAAGCTTTCACTTGCGAGACAGAAGTTGAGCATGCAGTGATAAATGCCTTTTATTCACACATAACACATGCATCAGTACTTTCGGAGAACAATGTGTCCGCCATCTTGAAAAGTCAGACCGGAATCACTATGTTGTGCCTTAGAACACATTTCGTTGTTGCTAAGTCAACTATTCTTTATTAAGCGTGGATTTCACTAGCGCATAAGCATAGCATAAGCACAAGCATGAGAATCATATGCGCCAGTGGGAASGGGGTCGACATAAGCATAAGACATTGAGCATGCGCACGAGCGTATTATTTCGGTACCAGGCTATGCAGTCCCGTTCTAACTGAGCATAAGCATGAGATAAGCATGAGATAAGCACAAGATAAGCACAAGAAGATCAAGCCTTGCTCGTTTTTCTTGTGCTCATGCTTATGCTTATTTTGAGCCCGTTCTCACTGGCGCATATGACTCTCGTGCTTCGTGCTTATGCTTATGCGCTAGTGAAATCCACGCTTTATATCGTATTATATTAAATTGATATTAGCTGAGAAGTTTTTAAAGATATAATTTAGTGATTAGAGTCCCACTTTTCAAGATGGCGGGCGCATTGTTCTCCGAAAGTACTGATGCATGTACACAATTATCCTGTCTCGCTTTGATGCAAAGGCTCGGCTACCTTTCAAGATGGCGGCGGGAACTGTAAAATGGAAAATTGATCGTTTGCAATGTATGTCACAGAGGACATCTTGGATGAACTTCAACAAATGATTTTTCATTGGTGTCTATTGTTAATTCAACCAAGAAGGCCGCTAGTCGTTGTTTTTTCATTACTATGGAAATGATTGCAACGTGCAATTTCAGTTAACTTACGTCCAAGGCTTTGGTGTAGTTTGCCACAGCCTTTTTATTGCCTTTGCATTGGTCRCGCATTTCTCCAAGTTTTGCTTTAAACTCGCCAACATCCTTGACGTTCTGGAAGGGACAGCCCTCTTTGAATGCTGGGCATCCTTGACCCAGTCCCTTTAGGTCTACTGCCTTRTAAGGACACTTCTTTCCCTTGCCGAAGGCTGGACAGTGCAGCTTTGTGTACTCCATGGTTATAGCWTCAGGAGTCTAAATCACCATAGTAACAATAAAATGGTGTTTTTGGTTGAAATCAATTGATTTCAAATCACTTTTTTTGTCTCTCTTCACTAATTCCCGATTCGTTTTTTGGGGGCTTTCAATGTAACACACGAATATTTTGCTTGACTTTGAGGCTAATCTAGAACTCGAAATTGGATAGTAGTGAGTTTTCTCAAATTAAACTCCAGTAGGGGCAGTACAGCCGAGGAAATAGAATCGAATCTGTATGTGTAAATTGATTGTTTTAGCTATCGATTTTCTATCCTAGGAACGAAGCTTTTCCCACAGTATTTCAATTTCAAGAATATCCATAATAACGACTGCGAGAGGAGACTAGAATAGTCAATACTTACCACAAATCGACCATTCAAGTCAGTTTTCAGACAGCAGCCGTTCTTGAAGAATGGACAATGGCCACGTTTGGCGACTTCCCGACCGTTGGCTGCATAGGCAAGCTAAATAAGATGAATAAATGATCAGAGAGATTTAACTTGTTTGCATTAGAACGTTTTGGGAAAATTTGTAATTAATTGGTGTTCATAAAAGAATGTCCCTTTAAAGGYTGTCAGTAASTGTCAATAATCGTCCCCATTGCCCCGCTAATGGCTAGCGATAGAACTTAGTTTATGTAATTGTGTGATCGCTCAAAAATGATATTGCTTTGAGTCTCCTCAAGTGAAAATTAACAATAATGCAAAAAATCCGTATTTTGTGGCGACTGGGATGATTCTTTTGACACCAATCCTAAATGCAGTTTGCATTGTTATAATTTCTTTGAGGAAACGGTAGATGTAAAATCGGGTGTTTTCGGAGGTTTTCGGACAACTAATGCTGTAATGTGCTGTCCCTATATAATGTTCGCAAAGATGCTGCGAGATATTTTCATAAGTGATAGAGGCTTACATCCATTGCCTTGAGGTAGTTTTCTTTGCCTTTGCACTTGTCTCGCATTTCACCCATTTTGGCYTTGAATTCGCCAATTGTCTTGGCGTTCATGAAGGGACATCCTCCATTCTTGAACTCAGGACATCCCTTAGCAAGACCCTTAAGCTCCTTCACGCTGTATGGACAAGCAGAACCTCCTTCAAATGCTGGGCAGTGAGACTTGACAAAGTCCATGGTTACACTTTCAGGAAGCTGAAGTTAAAACACATAAACAAGCTTTACATTTGTGAAATCTTACGTGTGAATTGTGGCAACAAAACTTGAAAAAAGTCACTTCATTCAACCAAGATATTACTACATACAGTCATATCTCTTCTATACAATAGACGAGTCTCTTACTTAGTTGCTGAAATCATGCATCAGTATACTTTTGCACTTCAAGGGCTATATTTTGCAAGTAATCATTACCCGTATTCGTTCCCTCTGAAGCTCTTTGAAAAATATATATGGTAAACCATCACGCAAACGTCGAAACTGATTTGATCGAAATAGACTCAGCTTTATTTGGGCCAAACATTTTACCATACGGCCCTCACTCAATAAGAATATGTYAATTTTACTTACGATAGGTTTCCCTTCACGATCAGAGCTCAATGGACACCCAAACTTGAAAAACGGACAATGCCCAAGTTTGGCCACTTCTCGTCCATTGGCAGACTCAATGATCTGTAATAATTGCCAGAATGGTTTCAGTAAAACTTAAATCAGGTGGCAGCTTTTCAGTTGACATTTAATGTACTAATATTAGAAAAAATACTGGATATTTTATTAGTGTGAAGGAATAATGATCTTTTGCAGTAAAAATGCACTGGCCAGGTAGACGAGCTGTAGACTCATTCGCATCCGAACTCTACTCAGCCGTGTAGTCCTGTGGCAAGTCAAAAAATATACCACAGGGGGAGTGGGTAAAGAAGGAAGGAAAAGCAAGCGGAGTACTCATCAACTTCGTCCTTTGGAGCTATAAAAGCCTTCAACGAGGCTCCACACCAATTCTTATCGGTTAAGATTATCAACACAGGAAGACTAAAACGACAAAGCAGTCTGTTCCGCTCG